CTGGGGTAAAAATCACTAAGCTGTTTATACCTGTTATATATTTACCTCTGTAGTGAACCAGCAGGCTTGATATGAGCAAGGCAATTTATGAACCACTTCAAGAACAGAGTGGAATGCTCTGTTAATTGGAAACTTCATTTATGGGGGATGAAAGGCCAAGCACTGGGACATCCCAGTGAAGTAGATTGTACTGTTCTTAATTGGAAAACTGTATTTGTTGTCTCAGAATAATACAGAAACATTAACCTGAGTAACTCAACACTTGTTGCTACTCACTCTCTAGGACTTACTGAGGAGAGCAGGAAGAGCCTAGCTTTTCCTTGGAGACTCCCAAATTCTCTAATTTCCCTGTCAAACAGTTTAATCATCGCCTGTCACTACCAGCCACCTACCCTGCAGGTTAGATCACTCAGAGCAGCAGGGGGCTGTGGGAAAAGAGCACAAGAGTTCAGGGGATCCAGCCTGTTACACCGGAATTTGACATTCCTGCATGTACCTCAGAACTTGACAGTCAGTACTGAAGTCAGCCATTTTGTATGGTCAACCACTGCCAGCTGAAAACCAAACATTACATAGCTAGGAAAATCTTAGGCCTTTATGAGACGCGATCAGACAGCTAAGCTGACAGCTAAACTCCCCATCAGCTGAACAGAAAGAGGACCACTAGAATCCTGGGTGGTGATCACTCAAAACCATCTCAGACTCTGGGTAACTATATCTGGGATGTCCTAAACCTATTGTGTGTGTGCTTAATAGCTAATGAATAGTAATTTTATATAAGCATGCTTCCTTGTATCAATCATTTATCAGATGCACTGTGTTCCCATTGATTATTCCTGACACTGGAGAGGAAGATAACTTACCCGTGCTTTGGGTTCTGAAAACCCTGGATAACAAGCCCTCCCAAAGAAAATAATAGTTGAGTCTCCTTTCTCCTAACTTCTGTTGTGGACAGATTCTTAGATGGTGTAAATTACATTGATTTCATTGGCGCTCTGACAACTTATACCCACTGAGGATTGGCTGCTGGTTTCTTTTCCCTTCTCTCCTTGATGCTCTACCAGCCCCTTGAGCAAGAGCCCAAGAGCAGACCAGTTGGCTGTAAGCAAGGCCCCTATCTATTTATCTCCGGTGTTTTCATTATCACCTCAGTGAGACTGCCTCCCTGATCGTATCTGCATAGCTCTCCCATGTGCATGCACAGCATGGGGAAACTGGCAGAAAACTTGTCATGTGTTTTAGTGTTTCCCCTTGTAAATGCTTCATTTCACTTTTTTGTGATAACTGACAACACTGGCTTACATACGAGACTAAGTATGATATATGAATACATTTCCTGCCTTGATACATTCAACTACCTCTTTAACCCTTACTACTTCAAGGCCACAACGTCGGCATACATCAAACCTGTTACAATTCCACAAAGAACAGCCATCCCCTTAAAGTTAGTATCATTCCCCATCTCTCTGTGTTCTTGTTTGTCTGTTATATAAGGTTGGTGGGGTAGGAACCGTCTCTTATACAGCACAAAACACACTGATGCTTAAACAGTAGCACTGCTCTTAATGACAGGTTTCAGAGTAGCAGCCGTGTTAGTCTGTATCCGCAAAAAGAACAGGAGTACTTGTGGCACCTTAGAGACTAACAGATTTATTAGAGCATAAGCTTTCGTGGACTACAGCCCACTTCTTCGGATGCATATAGAATGGAACATATATTGAGGAGATATATATACACACATACAGAGAGCATGAACAGGTGGGAGTTGTCTTACTGCTCTTAATGTCATTTTAATACACTGAGCTAACAGGTGCACAGAGCCTATCGTTGCAAAGTCAAGCACTCAAAAGCCAGAATTACATTTGCCTGTGCAATCTTAATATGGCCCTCTGTGTATATCCATTATAACTGTCTTTTTATTATATGCTCACAAACGATTTTTCCCACAGGACCTCTGCCTGTCAGTACCCAGGTCAGATGGCGCTCACTGAATGAGGAACTACAAAATATTTTGTTTTATTCTCATTGTTCAAGGAGTGGCCCAGGCCCTATTTACTGCACACTATTCAACCCTTCCTATGAAGATGGAAGTGTTAATTTCCTCATGGGCGTTTTGATGGTACTCATCAATACAATAGCTGAGTGCTTCACAAATGAATTTTCACAATACCTCGGTGAGGTAAGGAGCTATTTGTAAAATGGGGAACTGAGACAGATTAAGGGCAAAAGTAGCCACCACTTTTGGGTGCCAAATTTAAGATACCTAGGATCTGATTTTTTTTTGTTTGTTTGCATACTTAGCAGTATTTAGCACTTCATATGTTCAAAGCACAGCTGTCAGAAACTCCAGCTGCAACTGTGAGTGCTCAGCACTTCTGCAAACCAGACCCCAGGGTCTCAAGCTGAGCATCCAGAAAATGAGCGACCTCTTGTGAAAAGTTTGATTTAAGTGACTTGCCCAGTACCACACAGGAACTCTATGGCAGAGGCAGGGGTAGAATCCAGTTCTCCACGGTAGCCAAGAGGACATCCTTTCTCTTCCCCCAGTGCCCTGCTTCATTCACTAGGCACTCTTAAACTTTTGCATCAAACGAGGCAGAGGCCCTACAGAAAATAGCCTCATTCACTACACAACCCTGATTCATCCCATGAGCAGGTCCAGCCTGCCCATTAAGTGAGGCAAGGCCCTGTGGAAAATATAGTATTGATCATCTAATTAAAGAGTGTTATAATGCATATGTACAAAGGAGGCAAATTAAGGTTGCACAGTGAAACTTCTCTGGCACCTCATCCTGGTCCCAGTCTCCTTGCCCAGCCAGGCCATTCTTAGGGATCCCCAGCCAAGTCCCAATCTTCACTCCTCTCCCCGCAGCTCCTCTTCTCAATCTTTTTTGCCCATCTAGTCCCATATGCTCTGTTGGTCAACTCTCACTCTGTCTCCCCACTGGTTTTTAGTCTGACAAACTTCTCACATGGACTGAAAGTATTTACAATACATCCAGTAAACATGTAGGTGAACAGACTGGACTAGCCTCATAGAAAACATTCTTAGCTGTAGTAGAACTCCCTTAGAAAAATCAATTCCTATTTTTCCACAGGTTGTAGCGGCAGCCCCATGGCGTTGTCTATTCATGTAACGTAGTTAAACATTTTATACTCAATTACATTACATTTACGAAATCTGAGAGACTTTGTTCCCCTTTTACAGACTGCTTCATAGAATTTAAGGCCAGAAGGGAAGATTAGCTAATAATCTAGTCTGAGCTTCTGTAAATCACAAGTCAGTTAAATTTCACTGTTACCACAGTATTGAGCCTCACAAGTTGTGTCTGACTAAAGCAGATCTTCCAGAAAGGCATCCAGTCTTGATTTGCAAACATCATGAGATTGAGAGGCCACCACTTCCCCTGCCAGTTTGTTCCAGTGGTTAATCACCCTTGCCTTATTTCCAGTTTGAATAGGTCTGACATCGGCTTCCAGCTACTGATTCTTGCTATGCCTTTCTCTGCTGAAGAGCCTCTAAGTACCCATTACAAGCTGAGCCATTACAAACATTGAATCTATCTCCCCCCCCTTGTAAGTATTCTCACACTTCTTATCAAACTGTCTGTCCTGGGCTATCTTGATTATCACTTCAAAAGTTTTTTTCTCTTACTTAATGGGCCTCTCAGAGTTGGTAAGACAACTCCCACCTGTTCATGCTCTCTGTATGTGTGTATATATCTCTCCTCAATATATGTTTCACTCTATATGCATCCGAAGAAGTGGGCTGTAGTCCACGAAAGCTTATGCTCTAATAAATTTGTTAGCCTCTAAGGTGCCACAAGTACTTCTGTTCTTTCTAAGTACCCAGTATTTTCTCCCCATTAAGGAACTAACGCACTGCAATCAAGTCCCCTTTTTGATAAATTAAACAAATTGAGCTCTCACTGTGAGGCATTTTCTCCAGCCCTTGAATAATTTTTGTGACTTCTTTCTGCACCCTTTCCATTTTTCCCCAACATCCTTTTTAAAATGTAGGACATCAGAATTAGTTGCAGTATTCCAACATCAGTCTCAGCTCTCACCTCCCTAGTCCTCTTTATACAGCCAACGATTGCATTAGCCTGGTTTGCCACAGCATCACACTCATGTTCGGTGGCCTGTCCACTATGCCAGTCCCTAAGTCCTTTTCAGAGTGTCCGCTTTCCAGGGTACAGTCCCCCACTCTATAGGTGTGGCCTACATTCCTTGTTGTAGATGCACAACTGTGCCTTTGACTGTATTAAAATGCATTTTGTTTGAATAGGCTCAGCATACCAAGCAATCCAGATTGCTCTGTGAGTGCTCTGTCCTCATCAGTATTTACCACACCGCCAGTCTGGGTCAACCTCTCCCCCTCCACGTTGAGGTCATCTACCCAGCTCCTCACAATCAGCCTTTTTCTGGGTTCAACTCCTGGCTTGCTCACTCCTCCTCTTCCCACAATTCCCCCCCTCCCTCCCCCCGACTTCAACTTCCATGTTGACAACTCATCCAACCTCTTAGCTGCACATTTCCTCACCCCTATCTCATTCAACCTGCAGCCCTAGATCAACTCCCCTGCTCCCCAAAAGGGCTGCTTACTTGACTTGGTCTTTTTAACCACTGCTCTCTCTGCTGAGCTTCCCCTCCAATAGCACTAGGGATGGGGGTGATAGTTACTCAGTCTTACAACGTCCATCAAGTATTGCAGGCTTCTTGACTGCTCTGACTCTCCTCCCTGCTCTTTCTATTGACAGGGTTGTTGATTCTCTTTATACTCCTCTCCCGTCTTCACTTTCAAGGCCCTTTAAAATCTATCCCCAACCTACCTCTATCTTTAGTTTTGCCTTTGCAGCTTCATGACCAGCCTCTTTTAAAAGGGGGCTCATTTTTAGGTTCCAAGTCTTCAGGTTCAGTTGTATTGATATGTAAAATGAACACTACCAATGTGTTCACTCTGCTGTACTCTACAATCCATCACACGCCCATGCTGAACCTTATGAAAGACACGGTTACCAAAATTTTATTTTTCTTGGTAGTCTTAGAACAATATTAAAGTACTAGTACAATATTTTAATCCTTCATTAACAATTCCATTTTCCCTCAATTCATATCAAGCCTTAGTCACCTGGCTTCATTTTTTGTGATCAGATACCAAGAAGCTTTGCTGCATCATTTGTATAAAATGGGCTTTCCATAGACACATGTAATGTCTGAATATATAGAAAGATGTTTCATGGTTGATTTTTGTTGGCTCATTTGAAGATCTATTTCAAAATCAACCTAGCGCAAATAAGATGTTACAATATGATTTAATGCTTTATAAAACCGATCATCCTGTTTACACTAAACCAGGTTGGGAAATAAAATGTTAGAATTCTTCTTCAGCATGTTTGCATCGACAGCGTTTCAACTGTAGCAGCCTCTCCACCGTATCAGCAACTGTTCGTTCACCGTGCACCTTGTTATCTCGAGTACGGATATTAACTGTTCCACTCGCCTTCTCCTTTTCACCAACAACTAAACAAAGCCAAAATCCACAGATTAATATAATTTTTGCTCAAGGCTTGAGTTAAATAAATAAATAAATAAAAATCACTTTTCTTTAAATAAGAATTATGAATAAGAACATAATAATGCTTGACAAGACAATTGAATCCTACAGTGCATCCTCCTTTGCCCAATCCCTACACTTAAAGCTACCTTTAGTAATTCCAGCAGACACACTGAATAATGAAAACCCTACGACTGACTGTGCTTCTGTTAACAATACTGTGTTATACTTCTAGGTCCAGATTCTCATCTTTGCTGCACAACATCAAGACCCAGCCTCGACTCATTAATGCACTGAGATATCTAGGAAAGCAGCCTGAATCAGAGATTAGAATGTTGCATTCTTCCTTTAGCATACACTTGACATGGGAACAATCAAGTTATTGCAAATCATTTAATGCGATCTTTGACTGAGCCAGTCTCTTGCCCTGTTGACTGAAAGGCACCAAAATATTTTTCCTGCTGCAGTGTCAATGTATCGAGTCACTAAACAGCAATCTCTTCAGCTAACAAAGCAGCAGAGATTGGTTCCATAGCGTGTACTGCTCAGTCATGCACAGCTGGAAGGATGCTGGCTGTGAAAGAAACTTAAAAAGGAATTTACAGGTATAGCTGCTGCTTCTGCCTCACTCGCTCACTGGGAAAATGAGTTAGACCAAATTTCAGTTGCGTACAAGAAAAACAAGTCAACTACTGTATTACATGACCACCACACGCTATTTCTTTACCTAGGATAAAATTATACTGTGCAAGCTGAGCATTTCTGATCTTCTTGTTCAGTGTACATCCAGGATCCACATCTACATCAGACATTAATCCAGCATCATGGAACTGCTGTCTGACCTAAGTAATAAAATGACAAAATCTTATTTAAACCCTCAACCATGAGAGAATATGTAGATTTGAGTGAAAGGGATCATTTGAGGTTTGACAGCCAAAAATTAAAATTAGATCTCTGTTTTGCTTTCATTCAGAGGCAGACACATTTTGACACTACCCTTTGGTAGTGCCAAAAAAGGTGTACGGGGCACTGAAATATGGAAGAATGGTTTGGACATGGCAGGAGATCCTCGCACACACTAAATCACTAAGCAATCTAGTACCCAGCTCCATTAGGGTGGATACGCTACGAGACTTTAGCAATGTTGAAGCCAGGAAAGCTATAGGGCTTTGTGATCAGAAGATCCTTTAAAGTTTAGGCCTGATGAGTTTGAAAGAGATATACACAGCACTATTTGTGTGGATTATATTTTGTTTAATACTGCAAACAAAGACTCCTGTCTCTTCCTCCCCCATCATCATTACTCAAAATGCACGTGAGCATTGAGGGTCCACCTGAGTGGAGTCAGTTGCAGGATTAGGATATAAATGTAAAGATACTTTCTCCCTGGGTTTTCCCTCTAGCTGAAGAGGTGAGCAATTTCCTTTGCCTCCACAACCAGAAACATTCTCTCCAGCATCAACATTTGTTGTTTGGATATCCAGAATCCAGACTTCATGCTTCTGATGACTAAGTTCCATTTAGAATTTAGGCAACTTAATTTATCATCTGAATACAATATAATTTACTCACAATAGGAATTTATATAAATTTGTTAATTAAAAACAGAACTTAATGACAATTAAGTAACTCAACTAAATCATAAATTTATCTTGGAACAAATGAAGTCACCTTTTGTGCATATTCATCACATGTTGGTCCCACCGGCACCACCATCACTTGCTGAGGAGACAGCCAGAGAGGCCTTCAGAAAAAAAAACAATTATGTAGTATTTAGTAGTGTTCTTTAACTCTTTTAGACATGCTTAATCCCCTCTTACACCATCCAGAGTGTTCACTCCCTGGTTGGACAATAAGTTTATTTTTCAACGTTACCATTTGCCTGCATAGTTTTCGGTTAGGATAGCAATCATTCTTTCCACAGATCCTAAGATGGCTCGGTGAATAATAACTGGCCTTTTCTTGTCATCACCATCATGGCTGTAAATAAAAGAAATATTGTAAACTGATTTAATATGCCTATAATAACGGACAGGAAAAACTAGATTGTGTAACTACTATACACTAACATTTTTAGTTGTACTCACCTCACAAAGGTAAGGTTAAATCTGACTGGGAGCTGGAAATCTAGCTGGATTGTAGCACACTGGTGGTATCGGCCAATGGCATCTTTAATCTTAATGTCAATCTAAGAAACAAATCAAACTTTTAATAGAGAGTCTATAAGTTACAACAATGCCCTCTTATAGCAAAGAGATTTTCAAACACGTCACACTGAGTCTGATGAAGTGGGTATTCACCCACGAAAGCTTATGCTCCAATACGTGTGTTAGTCTATAAAGTGCCACAGGACTCCTTGCTGCTTTTTACAGATCCAGACTAACATGACTACCCCTCTGATACTTCACACTGAGTGAAATATATTCTAAGGAACCATGTGAATATATCATCTATGCCTCTCTTCAGCCCAAGGTAAGACATAAATGGCTTTTAGGGCCTGGTGTTGGGCCCCCTGACAGAAATGAATACGGCAGGAGATTCACTAATTCAAATTAAATTCGCACATTGGTTCAGTGCACTGAACTCACTTTTCATGGAGTTCTCATTTGAATCTATTCAATTGTACATGGGAATAACTTTAAAAAGTCAAACTGAACAATTATCATCAAAACCAAGACTTCTGCAACCTGTAGGTGAACAAATCCCAGGCCTATTTAACTTAAAATATTAGATAATCAAAGGTGTCAGCATCATAGCCTACATTACATGCTAAAGGGCATACCTCCATCAGTGAGGGCTATCAATTGAGGAAGAGACCACTGGGTAATGAAGATCATACTCCTTTATTTTGGATTGCTCAGTTTCATCAAAGCAACTTGGCTCCCAGATCTGAATGCATGCATATTATGCTTTTCTTTTCAATTCAGGCTGCAATCCTGAAAAACCCTTGGCTGAAAGTTAAGCATGTAAGCAAGTATTTGCAGGATCTGGGCCTTAATCATTTAGCAAATTGTCCCTATTATTCCACTACTCGTGGGGGGGGGGGGGGGGACGGACGGGCGGGAGGGAGAAAAGACTCTTATTTATTTTATTTACATACAAAGCCAAACT